AGTGCGAAATAAAATGAAACCTAATTTATTTTTTATAAACACACAAATGACGTCATAGCACGAATCGCCAATTTTGTCCAAAACTCCAAAGTTTCTTTTATTTAATAACCGCGCGTTAAAAAACTGTTAAAGTATTTTCCACATCTTAAAAGTAAAATTTTTACATTTAATTAAAAAGTTCTTTAAATGTTAATCAAACACACACAAACTTTAGCTTTGTATTTTTAGCACTTAATATGTTTTACGCTTTAAATTCCCAAAAATATACTTTTATTAATTTTATAACTTAATAAAGACATTAACTTTAAATATACTTTTAATAAGAAAATGCCGTTTAAGTCATCAGTGCAAAGAAGCTCCATAGACATTACATCAACAAATCTACTTATAGATCGGATTATAAATCAGAACGGACCATATGAAGTGCAAAATATGTTAGTTTGGGTATGGAATAAACTACAATCTACAATTTTTTTTTTAAATGACACTCAAGTCTGAAATAGGCGTGAAAAACGGTTTCCAGAATCTTCTTTAGATAAAAGTATTCTTTGTTTTACGAGTTTCTTATAATGTATAATTTAAAAAAAAAAACCCAATGCAAACGTGTGTTGACTTTTTTGATAAAGATATCAATATTTTATATTCCTTTAATAATATCAATATTTTATAGTCCTTTAATAATATCAATATTTTATAGTCCTTTAATATGAAATATATTTATATCATATTATTTTGTTCTTTTCTCCAATTTAGAGTAAAAAAGAAATCAAGGGCACAATAGGGGTAAATAAGGGTAATAGTGTAGAAATTGTCCTTCAGTTAATTTCTTGGTGACACAATTAATTGATATAATCAGTGATACATTAGTCTGGGTAATTTAAGGTCATATTTAGATGGAAAAAAGTAATTTAATTGCGTGAAAGGGAGAAGGGTAGGCGTGTAATATATAGCAGATAATTTTTCTCAAAACTCAATGATGTTTGAAACGTAAATATTATTACACAGATTCTTTTTTTAAAAGTTAGCAATTGTGATGAGTTTTTCAATAGCAGGTAGAAACTATCGCAATGAAACTCCCGTTATTATCCTGATAAGATCGGGACATTTTTTCTAGTTTATATTAATAATATTCAAACTTTACTAAAGAGAACGAATTTAAAATATTGCGTGCGTATTTAATTTTTTTGTTCGATTTCCGTTAAATAATAGAAAATAATTTTGATTGTTTTTAAGAATCCGAAGGTACATCAATCTTATCGGTTCTTTGGCGTTATGCCACTATAGCTCATTCTTATATATATATATATATATATAAGATAAACAAGTTAAAATAAAAAAAAAAATTGAGAAAATAACAAGGTAACTAAGATCCAATAATACGATAACAATGTAGAAAAATACGATATCAATATAAAATAAGATATCATGATAAAAATGCTGTATCACTATCTTTTCTTTAACGGATATACAAAAACAAACATGAAGTGAATAGTTATTTTAAAGTGATGTTACAGTTACCTGCAATTCTTTTGTTATCTGTTCCTCTCGGAAAACAGACAGCCCATTTAGAAAAAAGCAATCTAGAAATAGGTATTCAATTGTAGCAGCAGAGGCCTCAGCTATACATTGTATAATTTGTAGGCCTGTCTCAACGTCAAAGTATGAAGCATTTACTTCAATTTTCTAAATCAAATGTGATAAATGTTGTCATTATTTTGCATTACAACATCCAAAGAAATGGACTAAAACTACCGAAATATTGAAGGTCCTTGACCTTTTTATCATATGGAATTTAAGAAAAAAGAATTAAAATAATCGCATTAAAATTAACTTTGATTACCTGAAAGACTTAAACACAAACAGAAATACTTAAGGCAGAGGTTCTCAGACTTCATACTTCCGTGACTATGTAATACAGTTCCCAATCTTGTGGAGACCTAAACCATAAACTTATTTTCGTCGCTACTTGAAAACTGTAGAGTATATGATTTTCCCGATGGTCTTAGGCGACCCATGTGATTTGCTCATTCGACCCCAAAAGGGGTCGCGATCCACAGTTTTAAAACAGTTGACTTAAAGCTTTAAAAAATTAAATATTTTTTGTAACATATTTTTTGTTGTTGTTGTTTTTTGTTGTTTTCTTTTAAACTGACATTTTGAACCAGGGGTCCTCGGAATCTAGATTCCAAGTAATAAAACATCAACAATAACACTCCATCCGCCATTTACTAAACGGAGACACTCTCTCCGATTCTAAAGCCAATCCCAGGCGTCCATGTATGCTGGTGATATCTCCAAGATAAGGAACCGGTTGTAAATTATTTTTACCCGCAACGAGTGCTGATTGTGGATTAATCTCTTTATGGGGTCTATTAAATCTTTTTGCAGCTGTAGTCTGTCCGTGTCTATATCCAGATAAGGAAAAGAAATACTTTTCAGTTTGGCGCCATCCAAGCACTTAGAGAACTCTTTGAAGTCGTTGACGATTTCTTCGGCATCTCGCCCATGGATTAGATGGAATTTAATCGTAATGTCTTGAAGAGAGGTCGCGAACTGTTCAGCGAATTTGATCGAACACTTTCCTAATGAGACATTAATTAGGAATGTGTAATAACAAAAATGGATTAAGGACTTATGGTGAAACGTAAAGTATGGATATCGAAGAAAAGAAACATGGCGTTGAAACTATAAAGTGATTATTTTGGCCTGATGCATATACAACGACCTGAGGGCAACTGACATGCTTACAGCCTTCCCGTTTGTTATTTGTTATAACATAATATATTATGCTAGGTTAGTACCAATATTTTAGCTGTACTAGAAGGCAATTTTAAGGTATGTTGTTTGTGTAACAATGTTAGTTGTACCACTAAATTAGTCTATTATTGTAACAGTGTAAAGCAGCTACGTTACTGTACCGTAAGACTTTGGTGATGCTTTTTTAGACTTCATTAAAGCGTCATATTTGATTTTTCCTTTTGATCTTCGTCCGCCGAATTCAATCAATCGCGTTCTCCAAAGCGCGGGAAAATGGAAGACTTGGTTCCAGGTCTTACACACCTTATTAAGGAAAAAAGGCATGTGATTTAGGAAGTGTTCATGTAAAAGAGACTCTCAGTGGCAGGAACTGATCAATCTTTGTTTTCTGGTTATTATTTATATCATTTTTTTTATTGTCCGTACAAATATGATATTAGATAGAGTAAAAAAATGGGCTTAGCACAGAGGTGGTTCATAGTCCATCCATCCATCCCTGTGGCGTTACAGCCTATGTAAATCTTAGGGCTGCGTCACAACTGCCTTCAACTCACACCTAACTACTGCTTTTCTTGTCAATGCTTGGATTCCAAATTAGTGTAGATCGTTTCCACATCATCTAGCCATATAAGCCTAGGTCTGCTCTTTGATCCGTTTTCCTCTGGGGTTTTGTCGATGCACCTTCTTCACTCCTCGTTCGTTTGACATTCTCTCAAAGTGTCCTGCCAAGCGTAGCCTGCTTTTTGAAAATTTCTGCCACTAGGGTGAGATCCTGATCTAGACTGTACAAGTCATGTTTGGTTCTCATTCTCCGATGGCCATATTCCTCCTTTGTTGGTTCATATAATTTACTGAGAACTTTTCTCTCCCATGTGTTTAATATGTTTTCTGCCGTTTTTGTTAGGGTCTACGTTTAACTTGCGTATTTTGCAACTGGTCTGATTACAGTTTTATAAATAGCTTCTTTGTTTCTCTTGAAAGGTTTTTGCTTTTTGATATTTTCTGACTACTGATGTATGCCCTTTTTCAGGCTGATATTCACACACCCAGTTTCTAATTTATTCACACATTCAGTTTCTAATTTATTCACACATCCAGCTTTTAATCTATTCACACATCTATCATTTAGTCCATCTACTGTTATTCATATTTTGGTGAGGTCCAAGCCCACGCCGTCTAGCATCCTGGCTAACACACTGGTAAAACACTCTACCGTTTGGCTATCAAAAGATATTTTTGTTAACGTTGGGCGCGCATGCCACCTTGGTCTCCAATAGTTCAGATTTGGGGCATGAATTTGTCAAGTGTACAAAACATTTCTATGTGCATTGTTTATTCTCAACACTTTAGGACTTTGTTATAGTATGGTCTGTTAAAGTAAACATTAAGATGGCATTTACCACACCTCATCTGATGTGCCAAGTTCTTTTGCTACCTTTATTTTTCAATAGCTATCATGAATACGACTTTCTGAGAAGGCCAATGTTAACGTGCACATGGATAGTACCACAATTTCACCAAATGATCCTGAAACCAATTTTTTATATTGAGGAAGGAGACTTACTTCCTTGATAGTGGCAGGGCAGTTCTGGTTTTTAAAATTTATCTACTTGTTTATTGACTTTCAAAATATGGTCTTTACAACACATTGCCTTATAAGTTTCCTTCTATTTGCAGTTGCTGTTGCTGCCCATGTTATTAAAAATTACGCCAACCAAAAGCGTGCGTCTTGCACAAGTTTGCACGTACAATCTCAATATTGAGTTCCTTAAATACCCACACAGGCAGTTCACTGTGCACTCTTTCCAGTAGAGTTCTAAGTTGATTGTTTCAAGCCACATATCAAAATTCCACGTTGTAGTCTTAAATTGTCTCGAAACTAATCATCCACTCACAGCCATGTAAATATCAACGTCACTTAATGCGGGTTGAGTAGATCCCAAATATGTCAATTCATCCAATCCACTCATCTTTCCATCAACCAAACATCCATCCACGTTAGCAGCAATTTTACCCCATGATTTCTATTTTATCATTTGGTAATAATAAGGTGTTTAGTCATATATTTTATATAAAATACATTACCCTAGCCATTGAAACCCTGTCCACATCTCCCAAGTGCGTGTATATGACAAGCAGAACTGGGACGGGAATTTGGCCCCACAGTGGTTTTTCTGGATTCTTGTGATCCCGCTCTTTTGTTGATGTCATCTTTTTGATGGATGTGCGCATTCTTTTAGCTTGGTCTTTCTTATGATTCATAATTTATTATGGATTCAATATCTTACTCAATATATTCAATTTAATAATTTGTTTCCTTTTTATATTAAAACAAGGAACTACATTTGGTTGTTCAAGGAAGTTCAAAGTTGTGGCATGATTAGCAACAGTGCTAAATAGTGTTTAAGGTTATTACATTTTTTTTTTGAAATTCCCGAACTAAAAGCAAAATAAGAATGTTCTTCTGGTTCTGGCAGTGTTCGTTGCTGCATCCATGTACTGGCATCTGTTCAACGGTTGGGAGTATGATGTCGCTATTCTAACAACTCCTAGCTGATACCAGGGCAGCCTTGAAGCTTTCGTTAACTAAAAAAATGTGTAACACTTGACTCCCTCATATTATCCAAGCGATAATTCTTAATCTAAAAGGCATTTTACAACACATTTTATAAGGGGAATGAAACAAAACGTTTATACTTGAGCAGAAACAAAAAAACAAAACTAATTAACTGATATAGACTAAAATCCTTTAGTGATCTCAGATTCCAAATTAGTTATCTCACTGTAAATGTTCCATGATTACCATGGATATATTTGTCAGTTTCTGTGTAGAAAGGGGCACTATGAAAACAGAATTTGTTCTAAGCCAAATCGTGCCTCTCTAAATCAACAAACGAAATCGTGTTTTTTGTATAAGTAAATGATTTGAATTATTTTGATTCCTGTAGCAAATATTTAAAATGAAAAAAAAAATGAGAACAAAAACGGATAGAATTTGAGGACCATTGGTGAGAAAGAGTTTGTTTGATTTCATGCGGCGATATGGTTTCGAAAGTGATAATTCATTTGTTAGTTTTTTTTCGCTCTGTCTCGCTGGTGAATCTGTGCAAGAAATAAGAGCCGTTATCGTTATGTTTGATGTGAAATTATCTTCAGGCATATTGAAATAAAAGGAGACCAAATATATTTATATCGCTTTAATTTTGTTTTGTGAAATACCCTAAATATGTTTAATGTGCTTATCAGATATAAGACCAACACTTAGTCTGACCCAGAGTGCAACACTTTGTCTGACCCACAGTCCAACACTTTGTCTGACCCACAGTCAAACATTTAGTCTGACCCACAGTCCAACACTTAGTCTGACTCACAGTCCAACACTTAGTCTGACCCACAGTCCAACACTTAGTCTGACCCACAGTCCAACACTTAGTCTGACCCACAGTCCAACACTTAGTCTGACCCACAATCCAACACTTAGTCTGACCCACAGACCATCACTTAGTCTGACCCACAGTCCAACACTTAGTCTGACCCACAGACCAACACTTAGTCTGTGTAAGGGTCGTTGGACCCCAAAGGGCTCGAGACCCACATGTTGTACACATACAGTCCAACTATCAGTTCAACCCGTTAAGTCTTAAACACCCAAATTCCAACCGACAGTCCATACCGTCATGTTCTGCACACCCAAGTTTAGCACGCAGTAAAACCCTCCATATAATGCACACACACACGGTTCAACGCACATTCAAAGCAACATTTCAACCCTCATGTTGTTGGCACGCCTTCAGGCCAAAAACAATCGAAGCAATTTTTGAAACAAGTTATATTTTATGCACACCAACAGATAACAACCAAAATATGTGGTCTGTGTAACTTTAAATAACTTTGGCAAATACAAATATTTTTTAAAAAACTGCATTGGAGTCATCAAAATATGATTGGGGGTGGTTGTGTCTAATTTAGGAAACCCTGTACAACATGAACACTTTAAATTTTTTTTTATCCTCTTTCACTTGGTTGGGGGGGGGGGGGGCGTGAAAAGTGGACATAAAACCTTTTTTGATACCCAGGTGTAGCTTGGTGCCACCAGGTTGGTAAACAATGGGTTATGGGACATGATTTATACGGTATTGATGAATTTTTTTTTATTCTCTTTCACTTGGTTGGGGGGGGGGGGGAGCGTGAAAAGTGGACATAAAACCTTTTTTGATACCCAGGTGTAGCTTGGTGCCACCAGGTTGGTAAACAATGGGTTATGGGACATGATTTATACGGTATTGATGGTCGAGATAGCTGTGTTGTTTACATGAAAACTGTTAAGACATGTGTCATGTGATAGCATAGTTGCCTACGGTTGTATGAACCAGTGAGGTTAGAGCGATAGGGTAGTGAAGAGTTGTTTCCGGTTCTGGCGTAGCAGTAAAACGTTGACGGGGAGGGTTGTAACGGTCTGTTAGGAAAGGTATGTTTATATTTATGTGAAGGTGAAGTATGAAACATAAGGATATTCAATGTGTATTCACTGTTGAATGAAGAAAACAATTTCGTATCAAAGTAGTTATACTCAGATCTAAATACAGGATAAGGAGGAACTAGATGATAAGCCATATTACGGTAGGTTATTTTAAGACTTGAGTTTTGAAAGTTTGATTGAAAATTCTTATTCTAAAAGAAATTTTTGTATTTGCTTGAATTCATTAATAATTATTCTATAAGTAATTATGTGAACATTATGATTTAGTTGCATTATTGGAGTTCGTATTACTATATTTGTAAGAGACGGTAAATTCTAAGAAGCTAACCCTCAGAACTTGTATTTCATGAGATTTACGGTTTGGTGATATTAACTTAAAACAAAAACAGATAAGTAGGCTATAAGTAGAAAGGACATCAGGTAGAATGATCAATGATTTAGATGGTAAGTGAATGAAAGACAAATTTTGAAATAAATAAGGAGATTGTTGACAATAGGCTGGAATAGCGAAAATTCTTTAAAGTAACGAAACATCGAGGCCAACAAGACAGCGTATTAAATAATCTTGGCGTTTAGTATATTAAAAATTATGTGGTAACAGAGGAGGTGGAGGAAGAACGACTATGATCGTAGTGAATAGAGATCAGTGCAGTGGGTTTAGAAGAGGGTTGAAAGACAATGTTGATCGAGGTTAACAACTGCCGACACATTTCATTTTCAACATTCATGAAAACAACTCACAAGGTCCAGGCACGCACCATGACAACAACACAGGTCAAACATTTCGATCAGTAAACCCAATAATCGTCGGAGTCACAAAGAACAGTGGACTTTTGCTCAATATCGTTTGGGGAGAACATTAAAATTATAGGAGAGAGTTTTTTGGTTGTTTTTTTTTTTTTTTTTTGGGGGGGGGGTAAAAATAGAATGACGGGAGAGAGGGAGAGAGCTGTTTTTGATTGTTTAGCTGGAGGTTGAGATAAGGGGGGTAAGTTAGTAAACATGAAATTAGACACTGTATTGAATGAATAGATCGGTATTGATACAAAAAAGAAAGACTATCGAGTAGGTTGCGAGGTAAAATTTAAACGATAATTTGAAAAAAAAAATAACATAAAACAATAACATGGAAGTTAGATAAGAGCTCACAGCAAGTGATAGATTGCAGAAAACATGCGTTCCAGCAGGTTAGCGACTCCCAGGAGACCAAACGTTTGTTTGTCATAAATACAATATTAGCGATTACTTGCGACTTCCAAGAAACGATCACCCACACCCCGGCCCAGTTTTCCCACTTAAAAAATCTATTTTTGTCCTTTTCCTGGCCTATCCTTGACTCAATTCATTGGAGATTAAAACTAGTCACACAAGTATCCAAGTAATGTCAAAACAATCCATTAAATCCACCCCCTCCCCCAACCGTAGTGTAGCACAGGTTTATTCAACCAGTAGTCTTAAAATATTTAGTGTTGCGTATATCTATTTTGTTTGAAGTTATTTTATTTCATTATTGCTATGTTTTGAAACGCTTGGGTGAATCATCTTCTTCTTCCTGGTTTCTCTCAGTGGCGTAGCCAGATTTCAATACTTGGGTGAATCGTCGTCTTCCTGGTTTCTCTCAGTGGCGTAGTCATGTTTTAATGTGGAAGCTGAAAAAAAAACCAACTACTTTTCTCTCTCTCTCCTCCCAGCCCCCACGGATTTTTTTAAAATAGCAAATAAAATGTAACCAAAGCGTGAAACAATAATTAAAGTAAGTAATCTATTACTAATAACAGTGTGTCAAATATTCGGTCCCATGTCAAAACATTGGTCCCATGTAAAAATATTCGGTTCCATGTCAAAACATTGGTCCCATGTAAAAATATTCGGTTCCATGTCAAAATATTCATGCTCATAAAAAAATATTTCTCCTTGTCTAAGGTTGACGAGCTATAGATCTTAGGGTTGTAGCGAGCTATTTTTTTTTTATTGTCAGGGGATCATCAGGCTCTCTAGTTCCTCTAAATAGTACAACTTATACTCTATGTCAGTCCAAGGTGCTACACTCTGACTCCATTAGATAATACTCTGAGTTTATTAACATTTTCACATAAAGCATGTCATATAACATAACCTCCAAAACCCGGAGATCCACTGCAATAATCACTAGTCCACAAAGCGTTCTTCCAGACTCAGCAACACACATATGAACATAATTAAACTCTTTAGTGACTATGACACAGCTCCTCTATACTCCCCTCTCGACTTCCATCAACAATGACAATCTCACGCCTCATTCACTCAAACTTTCACTCATGGTAGTCAACATCATTTAATGTTTTTCATCACATCACAACATTTGTATATGCCCTTGACTCAGTGTATACCAGTCATTATTCTGTTAGTAATAACAGTTTATAAAGTCAGTAGCATATTAGTATTAACAGTGCATTACAGTCAGTGGTATATTAGTAATAAAGTCTGTAACGCAAAGACCGTGACCGTTGATCTCCTATAATGAGGTTGATTATCTTTTCTTGATGGGGAGGGGACAATTATCTCGTATATTTGGGGTCGTTCGCAAATTACGTCACGCCAAAAATAACTTAATGGACTACTTTCTAATTAGTGAATTTGGTGCTGAGGGTATATTACATATAATTCTAAATGCTTGAAGGAAAGTATGGTTCAATAATGAGTTCAATAGCGTGCAAAATATAATTCCCGATCACTATGCTTAATAATATCTTTATTTCTTGATATAACGCAACTGCATTTGGAAC